ACTCTCATTCCCAATGGCCCTTATCTGACCAACCTCGCCCCTTTGAGCTCTCACGGCACACCTACTACATACTTTACTACATTTCACCATGGAATCACTACATGGCTGTTTTGTGTGTGTGTGTGTGTGTGTGTTTAATGTTTATTTTTGAGAGAGTGAGAGACAGAGCACGAGCAGGGGAATGGCAGAGAGAGAGGGAGACACAGAATGTGAAGCAGGCTCCAGGCTCTGAGCTGTCAGCACAGAGCCTGCTGTGGGGCTTGAACTCACAAGCTGTGAGATCATGAACTGAGCTGAAGTCGGATGCCAACCAACTAAGCCACCCAGGTGCCCCGGCTGTTTAATGTTCTATGTAAATACTGCCTATGCACCTGGCTTGATTATAAAGGTATCAAGACTGAAAACCTCATTCTCCTCTTCCTCCTCAGTATGAGTTTGGTAGGGAAGGGATTTGGGCTAAAGAATGGATTGGAGAGACAAGGTCCCACACAATGTTTATAGCAAATCATCACATTTAAAGCACAGGGCTGAAACATGAGCGGTAAAGATGTTTAATGAACGTCACTGGATTATGATGTTAGGGCAGGCAGAAGGCCGGTAGACAGAAACACAAGTGGACTCTGAGAAGGTGGCATGTGGCTGGTCTAGAGCTCAGGCGAGTCTGCATACGACTCTATAACTCAAACACAGCTTCTCCTCTTTCCCCCAGACCTCCCAGCAGCTCCCTGGCCTCCGTCCCAGACACAGTGCTGGGTTTGGACTCATTCCACAAACCCTTCCTGGAACCAGCCTTTGGAACAGTTCTTAGGAGGAAATGCAAGACCTTCCCTTTGTTTTGTTTCTGCTTATGTTTTGGGGGTTTTGCATTAGAATTTTGCCACCCATCAAATCTGGTACTCCTGATGAAAAACTCTTTCCTGCACTCTGATTATCAAGTGCTTACTGATTGAGCAAGAAAATATACAAAGGGGATTCTCCAATGTGGAAGCTGGTCCCCAGCAGCATGTGGGACCTGTTCCAGGTCTAGGCATCTTTTCTTCCTGCATCCCAGTTGCTAAAGACACCCTGAATGACTGTTTCGTTACAAAAAATGATTTAATGTATCAATTGACCATGAGAGAAAGGACAAAGCATAGAAACAATCCATGGCCTTTCCATTTAAATCAGCAGAACATTAAGGGCACACAAATCTGCCCTGCCCAGAGTTGAGCTAATCCACTGTAGCCTGGCAGTTTGTCATTTGGAAAAATATCCTGCACTCTGGAGTCTGGCCTTCTGGTAGAGCCCAATCTCTTTTTTAGACTTGGAAGCTGGAGGCCCTCTATGTCTCTCATGCAATATAGCTGCAAGGTTAAATGCCCCAAGAGGCTCCTGTTCTCGGTCGCACACTGTGCCCTCAGCGGAGCTATAGGTCTTCACTGCACGGGCCACCATGGCAGACTCCACTGGTAGCCAGTCTCATCAACCGCCATCCCACCCCCGCTTCTCCCCACCCTTTCCTTGCTAATGGATCTGCACTTTTGTTCTGATATCTGACATAGAACAGGCAGCACGGAAAGGGGGGTCTCTTCCCAGAACCTTGAGAAGAATCATGGCTACTTTCATCCCGTGTCACTGCAATCCCATCCACCAACTGGTGTAGGAGTGGGCATGTGACCCGTTTCTGCTAGATGTGAATGGAAGCCTGCTGGGGGAGCTCATTGGAAGATTTTCTTCCCCGAGAAATGACAGAAGCTGGCTTCTTAGAAAGACTCCCTTTCCATTCGTCCCTTTCCACTCTTTGGAGAATACTACTGGGTGAGGATGTGACCAGAGCTGTTGCAGACACAGTGAGATCATGTAGGACAGGCAGAAAGGGTTGAAGGGATTCTGCCTCAGAAACACCATATTGCAGGGGCGCCTGGGTGGCTCGGTCAGTTAAGCGTCCAACTTTAGCTCAGGTCATGATCTCACAGTTCATAAGTTCAAGCCCCTCATCAGGCTTTCTGCTGTCAGCACAGAGCCCACTTCAGATCCTCTGTCCTCCCCTCTCTCTGTCCCTCCCCAGCTCTTTCTCTCAAAAATAAATAGACACAGGAAGGAAGGAAAGAAGGAAGGAAGGAAGGAAGGAAGGAAGGAAGGAAGGAAGGAAGGAAGGAAAGAAACACCATATTGCAGAGATGCTGAGCCAAGCTTGGAACCACCTATCTCTGGACATCCTGTTAGGTGAGAGGAATAAACAACCATAGTGTATATACACTGTATGGGTTCAATTTTTTATTCCTGGCAGTCAAAGGCATTCCTCATTGTCCCTATTTCTGTACTGGCCAAGCAGCAAAGTCTTAGGCTGCTTGTGAACCACAGGTCAACATCATCCCCAGAAATAGGAAGTGAATTGGCCTTCATTTATCACACAGATAGAAGGGAGGAGGAACTCACTCCATCTTGATGCATGATTGATTTTTTTTTTTTTTTAAAGATCTTCTTTATTTAAATAACCTCTCCACCCCACACGGGGCTCGAGCTCACAATCCCGAGATGAAAAGTCGCATGTCTCACTGACTGAGCCAGCCAGGTGCCCGATTCAGGATTGGTTTTATCTACACAGCCCATGACACTGAGGGACAGTCGAAGCTAACCTTGCAGGGCTCAAGCTGGGAGCAGAGCAACCTGGCCGTGGGGTCCCATGTTCCAGGACCCCCTGCCTTTAGCTCTGTGATGGTAGCACCAGGCAGTCCCTTCTTAAGTGTTTGGAGGGCAAACATAAACAAGCCTTCAGCTCATGCCTCCTTACCTTTCCCACCTTGATTTCAATGACCTTCTGAATTGTCAAAAGTGGACTCTTTCAAGGAATTGGGAAGGAATTGTACCTTAATGTTAATCGCCAATCATGCTGACATGAAATGCTTCCTCCTCTCCTCTCCTCTCCTCTCCTCTCCTCTCCTCTCCTCTCCTCTCCTCTCCTCTCCTCTCCTCTCCTCTCCTCTCCTCTCCTCTCCTCTCCTCTCCCCTATACACACACACACTCTCTCTCTCTCTCTCTCTCAGTTCTGGTGCCATATGGTCACACTTACTAATAACAATAAAACTCCAAATCAACAGGGGAGAAAGGCGGCTAGGGCTGGCACCTGGCACACCGCTAAGACAGACAGTTTCCAAAGCAGGCGAGGCAGACGAACTCTGTAAAACCAGAGGCTCCATATTCCGATGCGCAAGGCCACAAGGCCAGCTCCCCAGTGGGCTTATATAAACACCGTTTCTCAAGCATCCTTGGCCCACATATACTCAGGTGTTTAAAGGATTATAACCAGTAGGGAGCCTTGCCCTTTCCTTCTGTGATTTTCAAGGGTATTTTGAAGGCAATCATTCAACGTCAGGGTGTACCTTTCCATAAAACACTGTGTTGGCAGCCTCTCCTTGGGAGTGCGTGCTGTCTGACATGATGACCTAAATGCCCGCAGAGCACTGGGTCGGGGGAGGGGGGAGGAATGCATGGATGGAAACAAGGTGGCCTACCGCAAGAGGTCTGGGGTGGTGGGTAGAGAAATGACAGTCTAACTTCTCGGGTTCGTCGGCTCCGTCCATCTCCCCTTCATCACTTGACAGTCGGCTGGTGAGGTCACCTCCAGCTGGGGGTAGCGGGGGTTCCGGAGTGCAGCCACTGTGATTTGAAGATGTGTTGCTACTGATGCTATTTGCAGATGATGGTCTAAGGGCAAGGAGAGAAACGGACAGAATAAACTTTTCTGAGGCAGCAAGACCCATTCAGCTGAAGGGAGCTCGGAAGGAGACCCATCGGCTTTCTCGACATACCAAGGAAGGCAGGTCAATGGCAGATTGACACAAGGCAAAAATTCAGGCTGAGAGCAGGTTAGCTCTCGGTTAGAGAGCCGACCAGCTCTCTAAAATGATCCCGTGGAAGTTAGGCCCTGCCGGGCTTCAATTCAGGCACCAGGGAAAACTCCCATAGTGTAAGTGGAACATAAAATACAGTACTGTAACAGAGAGTTAACTTCAAACCAGTCTTCTAATGAATGCAGTCACAATTACTCATCTCTTTGCACATAAGTAATTTGCACTTGCCAGATAGTTGCTTCTCTCTGAAAGTAGACCCTGACAGGAAGTTCAACAGAGTAAACAACTTCGAACCAATTAACAGACCATCGGTGATGATGAAGATAGCCGCATACTTGTTGTTACTCTTAAATTATAGCTTTATGCAACTGTTACCCTACTGGCATGAAAAAAGGTTTTGTCCCAATGATGGGGCACAAGTCTCTTACTCCACAGCCAGATTTGTTTCTTTTTTTTCTTTTCTCTCTCTCTCTCTCTCTCTTTTTCTTTTTATAAGTAAGCTCTATACCCAACGTGGGGCTTGAACTTATGACCCTGAGATCAAGAGTCTCATGCTTTGCTGACTGTGCCAGCCAGGTGCCCCCAGATCTGTTTCTTAATATCAAGTCACATGTAGTTCAATTGTATCTTCTGAGGATGGATGTGTCCATTTAATTTTTGACAAGCCACCAGAACCACAGGCTGGCATGACTGGCTTCTAGTGGGTTCTGAAGAAATAGGTTTCTTAATGAAGGCATGAATGAGTTCCTTGTGTATGAACAAAACCTAGCAGATCTCATCTCAATGACGGCTGAGCTTATAGAAAAGCAGTGTCATAGTCAGAAGCACTACATGCTTCACAAGCAGCAAAAACCAAACCAAAACAAAACAAAGCAAAACCAAAATCAAAAACAACACATTCATGTTGGTAAAAGAGTTAGAAGAGGAATAGTCAAAGTTAGTTGTCAGTTGTTTTTCCTGCTTTTTCACTTTCATCAGGTGACTGACCAAGGAGAAATAAAGGGAGAAAAAGAAGTTTTGGAGAAAAAAAATTAGTTTTCTGTATTCTTCTCTGAAAGCTGCCCCTTCAAGCAGTGTGAAACAGCACCGTTGATTTTCTCCCTATTCCCTCAACTTCCCTCGGAATTCTTCGTTGCTCTGAAATCTTTCCAGCTGTCAAATACCTGAGTTCAAACCAGATCCCCAAAGCACAGTCATTTAACTTAATTATTTATTAATGTTTATTTATTTTTTGAGAGAGCGTAAGTGTGGGAGGGGCAGAAAGAGGGGAACAGAGGATCCGAAGCGGGTTCTGTGCTGACAGCAGTGAGCCTGATGTGGGGCCTCAACTCACGAATCGTGAGATCATCACTTGAGCCGGAGTTGGACGCTCAATGGACTGAATCACCCAGGTGTCCCAAACACAGTCATTTAAAGCAAAGCCGCAAAGGTCCCAAACGTCCATCAACAGATGAATGGATAAAATGGTATATCCATACAATGGAATGTTAAACCTTAAAAAAGAAGGAAATTCTGTCACGTGCAACAACATGGATGAATCTTGAAGACATTATGCTAAGTGAAATAAGCCAGTGACAAAGGACAAATATTGTATGATTCCACTTGTATGAGGCACCTAGAATAGTCAAGTTCATAGAGACAGACAGTAGGACAGTGGTTACAGGTGATGGTGGATGGGGAATGGGGAGTTAGTGTTTAATGGGTACAGAGCTTCAAAATGAGATGATAGAAAGTTCTGGAGAGGGATGGTGGTGATGGTCGCACCACAAGGTGAAGGTACTTATGCCACATACTGTACACGTAGAAACGGTTAAAATGGTAAATTTTACATTATGTATATTTTACCATAGTAACGAAGCCCATAAGAAACCAAACCCAAGGCCCCAGGTAGTTTTTTTAGTGTTACTACAAGAACTCTGTTGCTGTGACACTTTGTTCCTGACTGTCACCTTCCCATATTTATGAAAACAAAAATGCCATTCATTCTGCATGTTCAAAGTGTATGGTCCGGAGGACACATCTCCCCAGGTGCATTCCCACATACCTACTCCCTTGTATCAGAAGGGGCAACGTTATTGCCTATTTATGGCTGAAGACACATACAGGAAAACAATGCTGATAATGCTGAAACATATAAGGAAAGAAAGCAGCATCCATAATCCTGCCATTCAAGATCAAGTGCTATTACCATTCTGATTTATATCCTTCCAGATTTCTCTACTGTGCATACACAGGCACATGCATTTTTAAGCAAGAACTGGCTCACACTGTATATACTATTTTCAGACATGCTTTTTTTTTTTTTGCCTAGTGATGTTGTAGAAATCATTCCATGGGTAGAATTAGATCATTTTTAATATCCCCAATATTCCATAGTATGGATAGATCATAATTGACTGAATTATTACTTAACTATGTCTATCGATGGACATTTACGTTGTTTCCAAAATTTCTAGCAGCCTCTTTTTGAGGCCTTTCCCACTGTGTTAGGACCTCCTTGTCCTACAGGAGATAAAAGTGAGCTGGATTTTATTTAGTGTGATTAATAGCATCACAGTTATGTAGGAAAATATCTTTACATTTATTATTATTATTTTAAATATTTTTTAAACTTTATTTACTTATTTAGAGAGAGGGAGAAGAGAAGTCGCCTCCCAAGCAGGCTCCATAAGAGCCTGATGCAGGGCTCAAACTCACGAATGGTGAGATTATGACCTGATCCAAAATTAAGAGTCCATTTAACCCCTAAACCAAGAATGGGAATTTCACTTATCTTGCTAATGATTGATTTGTTAAAGGGTGTGAAAAATACATAAATTTTTTTTTCCTCTGGGGAGGTTGCAAATTTTCCTCACTTTTAAAAAGAGACACAAGGAAGTGGTCTCCACCTTCATCTGGAAGTACCAAGTACCACAGCCATCTTGCTATAAAACTTTGAACATGAAGCCCGAACACTGAAGAGGGTGGAATAAAAGAAAGGCAGGGAATATGAGCCGACTCCGCATCTTTGGGGACTGGTGCCCTGTCGCCTCTGGACTTCTTGTCACATGTGATAACAATTTTTTTTTAAATTTTTTAATGTTTATTTTTGACAGAGAGACAGAGCATGAGTGGGGGAGGGGCAGAGAGCGAGGGAGACAGAATCCGAAGCAGGCTTCAGGCTCTGAGCTGTCAGCACAGAGCCCGACGCGGGGCTCGAACCCACAGACTGCGAGATCATGACCTGAGCCGAAGTCGGACGCTCAGCTGACTGAGCCACCCAGGCACCCCAACGATTTTTTTTTTTAATTTTAATTTTTAGAGAGAGAGAGACAGAGTGAGACAGAGAGTGAGAGAGAGAGCACATGAGTGGGAGAGAAGGGCAGAGGGAGAGAAAGAGAGAATCCCAAGCAGTCTCCCCATCAGTGCTCAGTAAGGACCCTGACATGGAGTTCGATCCCACAGCCCTGGGATCATGACCTGAGCCAAAATCAAGAGTGGGATGCTCAACTGACTGAGCCACCCAGGCGCCCTGCATGTGATAAAATGTTTAATTATTTAAGCGATCAGGAAGACTAGGTTTTCTGCTACTTGCACTTGAAGCATCCCAATGGCTACAGAGTGAACATGAGATTTTAACATACTTTGAGAAGACAGAACGTGTCTGCAGAAGTGTTAACTGCAGGGCCAGGAGCTGGCTGACCGCAGAACCTGGAGCTACCTAGGGCTGCAAAAGTCATGGGTGAGGTGTGGGCTAAGTCTCGAGGGAGAGCTGAAGGTCTTCCCACGTGGTAGCTGGACCTACAGGTCAACACCACGACCTCACAAGGCCAGATGATGCACCACTGCCCCTGCCAGGTCCCACCTTCTCCAACCAACTCTCCAACAAGAGAACAAAGGTTTACTCTGCAGAGAAACTGAACTGGAGAGACCCTAGACAAGGGGCTGCCGGGCTCGGCAGAGATCAGGAGAGAAGCACAGGGCTGGAAACAAGGTGACTGTGGGCTATCTCTAGTTAGTGCGCACTTCCGGAATGCCTATCACCATGAAGGATTCATTCCCTGAGAAACTGAATGGCCTTGAAAAAGCTTCCAGATCTTGCCTTTGAGAATCCTTTTTGCTGACAGACCCACACAAAGACTTCCAATCAGCCTGTTAGTGCTTCTCTTTTAAATGTGAATGGTTAGGCACCCCACCCCCCCTTCAGCTCAGGTCAGATCTTGAGGTTCATGAGTTCCAGCCCCACGTCAGGTTCTGTGCTGACAGCTCAGAGCCTGGAGCCTGCTTCAGATTCTGTGTCTTTCTCTCTGCCCCTCCCCTGCTTGTGCTCTCTCTCTCTCTCTCTCTCTCTCTCTCTCTCTCTCAAAAATAAATAAACATTAAAAAAATTTAAATGTGAATGCTTAGGGATCACCAAACATTCCTGGAACATCTCCATTATGAGACCGACTAGCCAAACATCAAATGCACAGCACGAAAGAAATCAAGATAGCAAAGGAAAGAGGAAACAACTAAAAAAAACAACCTATCTTCAAAGATATTAGAATGGTATTACCTCTGCAAAATGATAGTATCTTGTATGATATTCTGAGAAGCAATTAGAAGTTCTTTTTATCTAAGAACCAGATCCTAGAATTTTAAAAAGTGAATCATAAGTGGATTATTTCACATACACTTTTGAAGGTAAAATAAAAGAAAATCTTTCAGAAAGTAGAACAAGAGATGAAGAGAAACAGGGGAAAAGAGGTAAAAGAATGAAAACATCAGAGCAAAAGGTCCAACATCCAGCTAATGGGAAGTCAATAGAGAGAATAAAGACTATAGTGGGGAGAAAATTAGCCAAGATGTAGCATAGGAAAATATCCCAGAAACAGG